GTATCAGACTATAGATTAGGATTGAGATTGAATTGAAATTTAGCCAATCAGAGCAAAATTCACTAAGCTCAAGTTTGGTGAATTTTGCTTTGATTGGCCAATTTTCAATTCAATCTCAATCTTAATCCTTAGTCTGATACGGGCTTTAGAGTCGTTGCCCAGGTATTGTTATTACCGATTATTCGATCATCATTATTTCGTTATTACCCACTCGCGGATATTATCACACGATTGTCGAACAGATATTATTATCATTACCATTTAATATTCAAATATTTATTACTTTTTTACTCAATTATTATTTAAGTTATTCGGTTATTATTTAATTATTGCTATTATGCATAGGAAAGTAACTCGTACCGTTACGACAATTTCTTTACCTCGTCTTTCTAATCAGTTATTATTGTTGTTGCCCAGTTATTGTAATTCATTGTTATTACTGATTATTCGATCATCGTTATTCAGTTATTATTGCCACACGATCAGATATTTTATCACTACCATTTATTATTCGAATATTATTACTTTTTTATAATAATTATAACAATATCTACTCGACAATCATGTAATAATAGCCGCGAGCGGATAATAACTGAATAACGATGATCGAATAATCAGTAATAACAATGAATAACAATAACTGGGAAATGGTAATAATAACTGATTAAAGACAAGGTAAAGAAATTGTCGTAACGGCACGCCCGAGTTACTTTCCTATGCATAATAGCAATAATTAAATAATAACCGAATAAATTAAACAATAATTGAATAAAGAAGTAGTAATACTCGTATAGTGTAAATGATAATGATAATAATATCTATTCGACAATCGTGTGATAATATCTGCGAGTGGATAATAACGAAATAATTACGATCGAATAACAATACTTGGGCTCTAACAAAAGCTCTAGGCTCCACAAAGGCTAGGTAAACGTACCGTCATAACGACCCGCTCGTGCTGCTGACTAAGCGGCGCTTGGGGGAGCACGTGATCGGATAATATAAACACGCGTGCACGAGCACGTGCTTGAGCGTCACGCCACAATACTCTCAACCGTCGAGACGAACACATCGGGAACTGTCGCGTTATTTTTTAGATTATTCCGTGCCGATTTTAATACCGCGTTTCCACTTCGCGACAATTCAGGCGATATTTAAGAAAAATTGAGACGCGTACTCCTCATGCAAGCAGGTGTTGCGGGCTTTACCGCGACAGATAATTACTCCATTTCATTTACTTTTTTACTTGTTAGATAGAGAAACGTCGCGATCGAGTTCCTCAATGCTGATCAAATATTATCACCATCCATTTATTATTCGAGTATTATTACTTCTTTATTCAGTTGTCATTTAATTATTTTTAATACGTATTGAGAAGCAACTTGAGCTTGCCGTTACAATTTCTTTTCCTCGTTTTGCTGTCGCGTATATCTAATTGATATTAAATTATTAAATTACTAAATTAAATTAAATTTCTGTCACAGAGATCCAATAGAGTAGATGCAGTCACGTGGGTCTAGAGGATGCGATGCCTGGGGAATGCCGCGCCGGATTCGGGCCTTTCTGAGTCGGCTCCAAAGTGAGTTTCACTAATTTGTACTTAGAATTAGAAATCCGACAAAAACTGAAAATTTTCTTGTTTGGAATCGAGTTCCTTAATGCCTCCATCGTTGTATAACTAATTAATACTTAATTAAATCTGTTTTTGTTGCAGAGACTCGACTCTAAGGGGATGCTGCGCCGAAGGATCCGTCTCGGGCCTAGCAGAATTAGCGCAAAGGTGAGCTTCACTGATTTGAATTCATAATTCCGATAAATGCGATATAACTGGAAATTCTCTTGTTTAAAATCGAGTTCCTTAATGCCTCCATTGTCGTGTGTAATACTAAATTAAATCTGCTTTCTGTTGCAGAGACGAAGCAGACGATCAGCTGATTTTTAGGGGCTGCGCCGCAGCATCCCACTCAGGCCGAGCGGGGTTAGCTCGAAGGTAACTGAGCGTTATCTAGGAAGAGGAGAGTGTCGTGAGCGTGGAGCGTCAGGTAGCTCAGTGGTTTAGAGCAGTCGCCCGGCAAGCGAAAGACCCGAGTTCGAGTCCCGGCCTAGCAGGACCGCGCTCTCGATATTTTTCTCTTTCTGGCACAAAAAAGATACGCAGATCTCGAACGCACGGCGTCCCGCCGCCACCTAGTATGCCCTCCTCCTTTTATGAGCTCGAAGGTAAACTTCATTAATTAGCATTTGTAATTAGAAATCCGACAAGATTGATAATTCTCTTGCTCGAAATCGAGATAATTTGAATCGATAGCAAAGATAGCACTAAATTAAAGATAGCATTAAATTATTACACGCGGAGAGAAGTTTTTCTGAGTAATCTCATAATTTGAAAAATGTTGATTTGTTCTAATTAAGAGATTTATTTGAAACATCGAGGGAAAGGAAAGAAATATTCCAAGTGCGAATGTATTCGGAAAAATTCTCCCAGCGTGAAAAATATCGCATACTTATTTTTTTAATATTTCAAACTTATACACTATACTATATACTATATATTTATTTACTATAGGACCTTAACTTAGTTTCCGCCCAAAAAATACTGAGAAAAAGCATTTATTGTAAAAAATTTATTTAAATTATTTCAATGAAAGTATTTTCCATCACTTTCTACAACTTTTTGCCATCTTTCTGGCAACTGGGCGATACCATCTCGATAAAACGATGTTTG